TGGTTCCAGATAGATTCTAATGCCTGTGTATTTTGGACCTCCCGCGTCGTGAATATCTCCAGTCTGAGACGCAGAGACGGTGCCAACGCCGCATATCATCCAACTAGACCAAGCTCTATCGGCGCACACATATATCTGTACATTGAAGATTAGTCGCTTATAATTTATAATTCCTTAATTGTACCTATTCATTCACAGTAATACGTTTCAAACGAAGGCTTTACGCTGTAGAAGGACTTGGTCATGATCTTGTGAGCTTTTCCTTGGGGGTTTTTTTTTTCTTTTTTTTTGCACATGCGAGACCCCTCACTTGTTTTCCCCAGAGCAGATAACGACTAGGTACTAGAGGGCCCGCCAGGTGCTTGGGCCCTCTAGTATAAAAAAAAATAAAACCTCCACTATATCTGACAGACGTAGATCGTGCTATCACGATATCACGAAGTCATCACGTAGCATACACGCTATGAGTCACTTCCTCTACCTACACACTTTATGTATGCACGTACTGTAACAGCCATGGCTCGCTCCGCTCGGTACAAGATGCTACGCCACCAAGCCATAAAGTTACTTGTAGGCACATAACCGATACAACAAAGCATTGACGCAAGTGCAAGGTTCTAGATGCAGCATGACAACCTCTACCGTCGATGTATACGGGTAGGTGCATGATCCTCCCATGGACTAGAGCTGTCTAAAAGCCAACAAAAGCTAGATCGTCAAATATTCTCGACTGCCTAGAATTAGGTAGCTTAGCAAATAAGAAACGGGAAGTAGGAAATGTGGTATAATTATTAGCATGAGGCTCACGTCCGATGTTCAATAGCACAGTGTATAAGTTACGGGTAGAAACGTGTCTGCTGAGTCGATAAGTTTGTATAAACCAACCAGCGATACGGCATTGATTTTCGGTGAGAATCTGGACTTGTATTCGTCCACTCTGTCGAACACGATTGGTGCTGTGTACCGGTAAAATATACACAATAGTACCTAGGTATCCAACCAGCCAACTTACCTGCCCAGTAGGGGTCCTTGGCAATTGAACAGATATGATTGGACTAATATAACCTCTTCTCAATCAGGAGATCACGAGGCTTCTCACCGCCCTTTTTATAGGAAAGGCTTCTCGCGTCACAGCTTAAGAATATTAGGGCGAGCAACGCCACAGGAATACACATTTTGGACTACCGGTAATCTTAAATATTCCGATACGCCGCAGGTGTGCTGCTCGTTTCAAGTGATGAGAGCCATCGTATTTCATTCTCAATTATAGCATAAGGAAAGCCGCAAGAGAGCGGACACATGTTAACTGATGTTGTACAACTCTCTGCCACGCCTCAGCACTAAAATAACCAGCTTCGACCCTGCCCTCGGTGAGACCGCATTTAACATAGCGTCCCCAAGATATTACTGCTTGGAATTTAACTGAAACTCCGGGTACGACTTGTAAGTTTGTTGCCACTGTTTTTGGATCAGCTCATTGGCGTTCTTCGGAGAAAATGCGTTGGACAGCTTTGATGCCATTTGAACTGCTGGCTTCGCATATATTGGATCGGGGATTTCGAAGGCAGTCTTACCCGACTTTCGAAATAGCCATGCAGTTGGTAACCACAGGTTGCTAGTAAAGGATAGTTAAATACGGCGGCATAAATAGGGGTCCACCCGAGTTCTTAACGAGACGATTCGCAAACGCCAATTTCTTCTCATGCTTTAATGTGTGAATGATTCGACGTTTGGTCGCCAACCCTGAGACCCCGATGCTGACAGTTAGGATGAGGCAGCTCGTAATTGCCTATAGCCTTAGGGAATTCGGGCAGCATTGGTGAAGGTGACTGCTGAATCAGAACAACTAGCCTCTAGGCGGCAGTGCCCGAGGCTTCTGCACCAGAAATGGCGACGACAACTCATCAGTACGCCATCGTATTTCCCGGTTTACTTTATATGATTCGGGCGCAAAGCAGGCGGCTACCATGTCTTTGAAACCGAATGGTCGATTCATACTATTAATAACCCCGGGATAATGAGATCTCCTAGATCTGCCGTGCCAACTCCTAGGGAACAGATTCGGGACTTTGGCCGTACGCGGGTTTCCCCTATGCTGTGGCCTCTTGGGGGAATTACCCGGCCGAAACCACAAATCAGGGGAAGATGAGAATGTCATAATCAGCCAACTCTGAGTGTTAATCAGCTGATGACCTATAGCTACAATTGGCACTTTTCCTATGTCCCCTAAACCTTCGTCCTTATGGGTCCTTGGGGGGGTGTTACGATAAGCAAAGGCTCACCCCCTTTTCTAGCGAGGAATAGATTCAGGACACATATGCTATCTCCCAGAGGTGTACCGGGATCATTCTAAGCAACACCTGAACAACTCGCTACCTGGCCTTGGTTAACGGTCAATAAAACCGAGGGAGCCATCAAAATTCAGGGCATAATCCAACCCCCAAGTAGCAATAAGGCGGCAATCCACAGATGAACATCTCCACATAGCCGGGTTGGCCATACATAGGATGTCCGATAACGGCCGTCGGCCTGGTTGAAGTGTTCATTACTACAGGTTACCATAGAAATATTATTGCAACGTCGACAGCAAGGCGGAGGTTTCTAGCGTCATACCTAGGTACCAAGAAGCTTCTTGGGCTGCTACCTTGTATCGGCCAAAGTAACGGACGTCTGACGACATCTAGGTCCTCGGTCATTCGGGATCTGGACACATCTCAGTTGGTTGAATTTCTGGTTAGGTAGGAAATGTTGGACCGTAGCCCTGTCGATGAAACCTTGGTAGCCCCCGGTTACCCGCCCTTGTATAGGGTGAGATCTAAGAAGATATGTCAGCATCAAAGAGGAATGGTGAGTCCATAGAATGATGACCATAGTCATCGTATCCGTAGTAGTGTTGGAGGTAGCCCTTGGTATATTACCCCGTAGAGTGACAGATGGCTTGCTGGCTGATAGAGAGACAAAGCATACAATATATTGAATAAGCCTGTTGACGCCTGCCCCCATTCAAAGACATGGGCACCTCAGTGCCCTATATATTACCTAGTAGTTAACCGGTGATAAGCTTCTGTAGCTTATAAACCAATGTACTGGAAGCTGAACAAAAGCTATCTAAATATAAACGTGAGCCTCAAAGTGGAAGTCATCGATCTTACCTTAGGTATGTACCTCCGTACCTATCTATATAAGTCCAAGCCACAGAGCACAGACCTATGGATGACAAATCATAAACTTCATGAGCCACAGCAAGACCACGAGCCCCATTTTCTAGTGACCCGCCTGTCAGCCCAATTTCTCAATTCCAACTTTCAGCCCTACCAACAATCGAGATCTAGAGAACTTTATCGCTAGCCATGCCAAAACTTTTACCGTACCTAGTTCAAATTTGCATCCTTCCCTGATGTGCCACCGACTAGTTATGTATGTACGATATGCATGTCAAGAGATGATCTGCAGGGACTTGCAGCTAACAATTCTATACTCACCGTTTCACATTTTCGCCTCAAGTAACTACCCGCTTAAGATTAGCCCAAACTTCTTTAGCTTCTCTCTCTTCTTTTTCTTTCTTTTTCTAGTCATTGATTCATAGTGGAGACAGTTTTTCTACATACATGGCCCATACTTAAGACCACATGGACCGGTGTCAAAGATACCCAAGATCATGGAAACCCGGGTTCTCATGGAACTTTCAGGGCAATTCTGCACTACACCAATGCTAATTTAGTCGTGTTAGCTTCCAAAACTGGGTCTCTTATCTCTACTTGAAGCTGTCAAAAAAAAGAGTTGGGTTCCCTTAAGGCTAATGCCAACTATCCCCAACTATCCTTATCGTCAACATCAATCACCTTCAGAACAAGCGAAGGAAGGTAATTCCCAAAGGATCCCCATCGATTATTGAGGTTCGAAGGGTAGGAGATGACCACCGGTCGGCGGTCGCTTATCCGGAATCGCCCGGGGTTGTATTCAAATATCATCATGGTTGTGTATTTACGACTATGCTGCTACCATAGTCAAGACAATTTCGCCTCTTCCGTTTGATAAATCTCGTCATCTGATAGACTGATACAGCTCCTAGAGTAGGAATACCAGCGCCACACTTCCGTGTTGGGGTGTTTAGCGCTACTCCGAACCAAGAAATAGTCACCCCTCCTACAAGCATCCCTTGGAGTCCCAAGGTGGTGGTGTACCTACGCACTTGAGTCGCCGGGCGTCGGGCGAATAGCATATCACATCCTCTTCAACAATCAATAATGGAATCTATCACATTTTCCACACTTTCCACACTTCTAGCGGTGGAGCGCATATGTTGACGGTGAGTTCTCCCTCGTAAGCGCTACCTCCAGCTTCATCGCTTTAGAGTGTTTGTGTAAGTGAGAACGGTTACAATGGTCATTCCGCAAATGCTTAGCAGTCTAATACGACATCGCGTAACCCGATTTCTGTATGATATGAAATCACAACTCGGATAGCAACTCGAGTCAACAATCGTCAAGGTAGCATCTTTGACGTCAAGCGAACTCGTGTTCTTGAGGAGCTTGTGCCGCACTCGAGCTTCATTCATGCAAGGTACGATGACGATGCATACATATTCGCCGATCCAAACGCAAGTCAATTCGATCAAGTTACGGAATTATCAAATCACAAGGGCCACAAGCCTCAAGACGTCGCAATCACAGCATACGGATGCAATTGAATTGCGGTTGTTTCGGCTGATTTTCTGTATACAACTTGTCAGATGCCTATCTGGCCGAACTTGACTGCTTGAGTTGGTGGCCTCGATGTCTTAGAAAGCCGGCTTATGCTCTATCATTGTTGGTGACCCCCACCCACCAGCCCAGTCTTCCAAATCAAATCTGCACACCATCTCAGACGCGTGATGCTCTTTGTGGAAATCAGCTTGAAGTTCACTTTTGTCTGAGCCTCCCACGGCTAAGCACTTAGTCTAAGTGATTCATTGCGAGATAGCGCGTCTGTCCACGAGTTCTGCCAGGTTCCCAAAGGGTTGCCTTTCCCCAGTTGGGAACCTCAGGCATGACCACCATTTTCTCTAGCCCGCCCACTCACAAGGCAACCTCTTAAGCTAACCGGTGACTAGCACATTCCTTGACACCTTCTGCCTAGTGGTAGTATATATTACGCGGGTTTCCCGCGCTTTCTATACCTCGCTTTCGTTCTACTTGTATTTCTACTTATATTTCACGACTCGTCAATTTTATCTCTCGGGGTGGTTGGCTGGTTTCACTTTTCACCGGATAATTTTACCTGAGCCGGCTTGAGCCCGGCGACCTTCGTAAAGGTTACAATAAGGCTCTTAAATAAGGCTCTTTATTACAGTTCGTCCGAGTTATCAATTAAAATTTTAGTAATGGTCACGCTGCGGAATCCGCTCTCTTGCTTCTAACCCCCTTTTCCGGATCCCGTGGGCCGTCACCAAATTAACTACCATGTCTTTTTTACCTACTGGCACATCTATGCGTGGACAGTCGGAGCCGTCTTTGCCGCCGAGTCCCAGCCGCCTTCCCCCGTCGTTGGAAGACGATACCAACTCAACAGACGATGACGAGCTCGACGCTCAGTGGTCTAATGAGAATCCTATGATGTATTTCTTTACACCACCAACTCCAAAAGAAGAAGACCTCGAATTTGATTTCGAGTTTGACGCCGGGATTGAGGACCCAACTAAACCTCGAGAGTTCATCCGTACCGTCTCCCCTTCTACTCTCGATGGGCTAAGGAAGTACAAGCCTAGAGACAAGATAAAAACAGACTGCGCTGTCTTGGATGACAATGAAGACGACGATGATGACAACGAAGATGATGATGATGACGACGAGGATTATATCCGCTTCAATCATCATGGTCATACGTCTCTACCATTTGGATTCGAAAGATTCTTCGACCAGACAAGGTCTTCTTCTACCGTAACATCTCAGGCCACAGAGTCACTATCACCCACTGCATTTCACATCGGTTCACCCAAACGTACTGTAAAACGCTTCACACCCCTACGGCGTTCTCCGAGAGGAAGGTGGCCTCGCCAATCGCTCCAACGACGACATTCATGGCGTGAGCCAAGTCCCGATGTTTATTCTATAGAAGAGGAACCAGAGAAGGAAACGATGAGCGAGATGGGTTTGAGCGTCGAAGACCTGAGTGACGATCAGGAGAAGACGCGACCAATAGATATACCGGCTGCAAAGCCACGGAAGAAGGTTCGGTTCTTGTTACCGGTTACGGATTAATTGCATATAGTGTTTACACTTGGATATAGCATACCTTGCATAGGGCGGCGTTTGGTGAATTTTCCCCTTTGCATTTCTTGGGTTTTCTTATTCTTGTCACATCCAATCTGCATACGGAACATATTAAGCATCTTTAGCATATTTAGCATAGGCACGTCGGGTTTCTTTTCTTAGGTAGTCTTGGAGGATACTTGAGGCAACAAAATCCTGAGGGTGTTCGGTCAGATACCAAATTTAATCTTACTTCATATTCTACTTCATATTCATTAACTATTCGTCTTTCGCTTTTGTGAGTAGTGCCGTGATATCCGTAACAAGACCATGCTCTCCTACATAGACACCTGATAGACATCTGGAGGGCAGTCGAGACCAGGGTATACCCCACGAAATTCGGAGTCATATCCGTATATGCACAGGTATGAGGCGAAATCAGGAATCTGCTCCATCTTGCTTACGCATTGCTGCAACGTAAATCAACGCCGATCCTGTAGATAGTCAGCCACACCTACCACGAGGATACGGTGGTCCTATCACTATCTCGTCACTGGCACACCTTATTTCCATACGACGAGATAGCGAACCAGATAAGAGGATACCGAGGCGTGCTTAGTAGCTCGATAGTTACCTACTTGGTTGTAAAGGGTATCGTCCCGCACGCTCGTCTAAACAAGCCCAACATCGACGTTGTTTGTACTACTCAGCTAAACTGGATAAGTGAGTGAGTGAGTGACTTATCCGGGCCGATTCGGATTACACAAAACGCGGCGCGGCACGGTGTTGCCTTCTATTCGGATCGAATCGCTTCCGGCATTGGGTACTGGGTACCTAGGGAGGTGGGTAGGGTAGGGCAGAAGATGTAGGTATGTAAGAAAGGGAGAGAGAGGCTAGCGTCAACTTCTTCGTGGCTATGTATGCTCATGCAGCCCTACGAGCTTACATTAGGTACATATTTCCCGACGCACATATACATTCATACATAGGTACCTATGCTGATCTTCGCGTCACACGACGGTGCTTTGCGTAATGGGCATCTATGTGTATCGCCCACACATACATACAGAGAAAGAGGTTCACGTACATAGAGTAGTTGGTCTTGGCGTCAGCATAGATACATACATATATACCATGCGGAGTACATCCATCCATCCATATTATAGGTATACATAGCAAGGAAGTCAAGTTCCTAAAGCGGATAGCCGAACAGGCGACCAGCCCAACCAGCGCCTCTGGATGGCGCCCCCAAGGCACGGGTTTATGTAGACGAGAGTCTTCTCTGGGCTAGACCCCACGGCCGTTGACCGCTCATCCTATGTACAATACGTGCTTGGGGGAGGCGCTGGGCGCCACGTGGGTTGGGTGAGGTCTCTCGGGCGTTACCGGGCTGCTGGGTCGATGGCTGGGCTGGGCTGGAGGGGTTACGTGAGCTATCTATGTAGAGGGAGCGAGTGAGCACTAGGTAGTAGAGCCCTTTCGTCCGCAAACTTACTTTATATACCTACCTACATAAGATGTGCATGGGGGATGCTAGGTACCTTGGTAATGGAATGATTTGAGAAACTGGGTTTTAGGTAATATTACAGCGGCTTAGTCTAATAGTCTAGGACGTTCTTTGATGATGGAAAAGCTGCGAGGTACATAGTGAGTGGGTTGGGTAAGGTAAGGTAAGATGGCTGATAATATCTGACTTGGACTCGGTTCTAAGATTGGGCCGTCCGAGTTCATGCTTTGAATTGCGAGTTTTCGCCGTGCGGTTCCGAGGCTGTGACTGTTTCCAATTCTTACTTACTCACTCACTCACTCTTCTAGAAGGCGAATAAATTCCATATCAGATACGTGAGCCGGTTTTCATTGGCTCGTAAGCTGTGCCTCTAAGCATCCCCCCTATCTTGCTCCTATTTGTGTCACAAGAACGAGACAGAACTTGCTTCTGAAGAATAGTCTTGTTGAATGCAATGCATTACCAATCAATGGATCGATTTAATATACGAGAAGCCAGCATCACCGGATTATGAAACCCAAGAGTCCTTACTGAAATATTCCTAGCGGATATAGACAACTACAACGACTCAACTTTCCAAGGGGTATTAACCCCTCGAGTACTGATACGGGACCTGAATGCACTGCGGTCAAGTATTCATAAACTTAAACATTTGTGTTTTCTCAAGACAACAGGTCCTTCGTTTTCCTATCATCCTAAGTACACCCGAGTCTATTTATTCCTCGGCCCCTAAAGTAGAGACTGAAACACTCAAATATTCTAGCGTGGAAGAATACCGCTCCAATAACTCATGGTATAAGTCCTATCGTGCCGGATCCTCAATCGATCCGGTGAGTTGAATAGGAACGCGAAACTCCAACGCCGCCAACGCCTTGTCCTGATGCAATTTTCGTGTGAATACAAAGTCAAGAATGCAGCATAAAGAGTGAGCTCTTTGCTTTACTCATCGTCTGCATCCTCCGTATCATCTGCATCCTCAACCGTAACCGCTTTCGCCTTTCCTTTCCTTTCACTCCCCGTCGACGTTTCTTGCTCGTCATTTGAATCACGACGCGGACCTTCTGATGCTGAAGCTTCTCCTACTCTCGTTCCAGGCTCATCTATAGAGGCCGAACCAACAGCCCCGCTGTTAGCATACAGCTGCGAAGCACCGCCCCAGTTAGGCACTACCGGGGTAGGTGCGGCCACTACGGGGGGTTCTCTCTGCGGCTGTGAAGTAGTCCCGGAAGCTTGCGCTGCAGTATACCTGTTGGATACTTCCACAAGCCGAGCAAGGGAGTCGCCAATTCTATGGTTTGATGACTGGGGACCACCGGGGACGCTAGTAGTCGTAGTATTTATATTCGCTGTATCGGTTGTTTGTGACTGCTGACTGCTAGCGTCAACTTGTTGATTGGGCGGCTGAGCCCCTAGGGGAGCTTGTGGCGGCTGGCCATCAATGCGCCGAAGAGGTAATAGTGACCAACCAGGGGGTATGGTAACACCTTCAGGTAGTTCTGAGCTACCGGAAGGGATAGTAGTCGAATAAGATACGCCGCCATGTCTAGTCACTGTCGGGGTTGCTACGCGAGTCGGGAAACCCGAAAATGGGGGAAACTGTGACATGGGTTGAAAAGGAGCAAAAGGGGGTTGTGGTGCAGTTGCATGGTCGGAAGCAAATTGGACGCTGATGCTCGGTTGTCCGGGTTGGGCCATCGGCGCAGGTTGACGATCTTGTTGCACCTGACGAAGACGGTTTAGCTCTGTTGTTAGAGCATATAGGGTGTGTAATTCGGTTTGGCTCGCCTGTAGGGCTTGTATTTCCATTTGGATTCGATTCGAGATATCATGAAGTTGTGCCTGTATGTCCGTGATACTATTAGGGTTTGGATTGGTAACGCTAGGAGGAGCTTGAACGATTGGCGTTGGTGCTGCGGGAATGTTGGCGCCATCAAGAGGGACGCGAAGGCGTTGAGCCATCTCATGGATATTCTGGGCGTTACCCTGAGCAAAGCCTAATCGAATAGGGCCGAATTGGAACACCCTCATATTACCTCCGGGGCGAGCTTGCGCCGGCTGACCAGCATTTGCACCTCTATTACCTGGTGCTGGTTGACCTGGAGCATTAGGCTGGCCACCAGGAGCTGTGCCGTCATTAGGTGCGGGATCCTCGATAGTAACCGGGCGTCGACATGTCGGGCATACTTGTTGTCTCTCCATCCAGCTCTTGAGACATCCAAAGTGCAAGATGTGGCCGCATGGAAGCCTTTTTGGGCGGAACCGCTCTACTGCGCCTACGGCAGACGGATCCCACGGTCTCATGTCTTCTCTGCAGATGATACAAGTATTCTCGCGCGCTAACTCTTCTTCCGTAGCGTCAGGGTACTTGGTCATATTTTTAACAGCTTTCCGGTATTTAATCAGGAGTCTGAGCTGCCCCACAAATGAGCGAGCCGTCATGAATAGGTCGCGCATAATATGAATAGGTAGACCGTAAAACATCATCAGGATAGCGAAAAAGGCGGAATAGATGCCAAGCTTGACGAAGTCTATATGCGTGTTAGTTAATTAACAATAACACAATCGAGAAATAGATACTTACCAGTGAACAAGTCAAGACTTAGAACCCATTGCCCCTTGGACTCCCATCCCGGTACATCGATATCCGTCTCATCGATATCATCCTCGCTAGGTAATTCTTCTTGCTCTGCGGCCTCCACCTCGGCGGGATCACCAGACTCGCGACGTCTCATGATATCAGCACGCTGCTCTCGGATTTGTCTACGCCGTTCTTCCAGCCTCTGCTTAGTCTGCTTCCTCACTATATCGGCCTCAACCAGTGATAGGACATATCGGAAGCCAGTGCGGAACGAGCAGGCGGTTAGTATGGCGAACTCGAATAGGAACATGACCATCATGTTGGGTCGGGCCTGTTGAATAACGGCGTTTACGGTGTACGTAAATAGCCAGGTATCATATATGACGCTGAGCAGGAGGGATATGCTGAGTCTCGTATGGAAAAGGCGCGGGTTCACCGGAGGTTGCTGTTCCAAAACTTCGACACGACCTTCGCCTATCCATTCCCAAACTTTGCCGGTGACTAGAGCGGTAAACATAACGAGGAACCAAGCCCCGACCTCTTCCCGAAAGATCGTCATAGCGAGGCAGGTTTCGGTAACGGCGAACCAGGCTTTCTCGTAGAGCTGCTCGATCTCGACCGGTCGGAGGGGGCCATAGCAGAGTCGCTGAAGACCCCAGACGAAGGAACCATATACCAGAAGAACAAGATTTATGAGTATCTGTGATCAGACGCCAAAGGTCAGTAATTCGGCACGGAGGCGAAGACTATCAATGATGGTGAGGTGTACCATAAAACATACCATGAGACTCAAGTTATTCTGAGACAGATAGACCATGGCGGAGTAAAAGTTAGCCCGTTGGTTAAATGCATAGGCAACGACGCCGGCCGCCAGGGCCGTCGAGGTCTGCGCAAAGAATTGGATTAGCTTGAAGTTCCCGTTTCCCAGCACGAGACGAGACGAGACGAGGCGATATAGAGAACTATAAATTTAGCTTACCCCTGCGTACCAAAGA